TTGCCCTTCACAACAAACGTAAATGAGAGGAGGAGGAGAAGTAAACGTGCCGAACACCTAACGAGACTTAACTCTACCGCTTTCTGGTTTTGGTTTTGAGGCAGCAATGGCGATCTTGGAGGATTTGGTGGTAAATCTCAACTTATCTGCCCCGAATTCTTACGGAGCTGTGGTTCTCGGCGGTACCTTTGATAGATTACACGACGGCCATCGCCTCTTCCTCAAGGTAACATCCTCTCTCTCTCTCTCTCTCTCTCGCTGTCTCTCTCGGGATATATGTTTATGTATGTGTATATGTTTTATGTATTAATTTCGAAATGAACAAAGAGAAATAAATTGATTTGGAGCAGCAATCAGCAGAGCTGGCAAGAGAGAGGATTGTGGTGGGAGTATGCGACGGTCCTATGTTGACCAACAAACAGGTAAATATTTTTCACTTTTGTTCTTTGTTTTCCTTCAAAAATTTAGTTAAAGTTACATCAATTTATTACTTAATGTTCATCCACCATTTCGTTTGTGATTTAGCAACCTATTCAAACCAGGACGATATCTGTTGTCGTGTGTTTTGGATGATGGTGTCATTTTTGCTGTTGCTGGATATCGTTCAAACTCAGCATTTATATGACTTAATGCCGAATTTTCTCTTGATGGTGGATTATTATGTAGTTTTGTACATCTAAGATCTCACCCGATGATGATATGTCCTTTTTCCTTCAGGATTTTTTTAGGCGTTATTAAAGCATCCCTATTTATAAGTTTCATGAGCATCAGTACTCAGATCCCCTCGAGTTCATTCTATTTTAAATCTCAAAACTAGCGGTCACAAGAAAGTGTCTTCTGAAAAAAATTTCAACTTTTTGCCTTCATATCTCATTATGGGGATGATGGAAATTATGCCTTTGTTTTTCACGTACAAATAGTCAAGAAACTGTTTAGGTTGTCTAATCATGATATTGTTCGACATTGTTTTGTAGTTCTCTGATTTAATACAGCCCATTGAAGAGAGGATGCATAATGTTGAAAATTACATCAAGGTATGAAAAAAATTGTCTTGCGCATTCAAGTAGAGAAAACACTTTGGAGCTCTGTTTATTATATTTGGTTTGAGACTGGTTAATCATGTGACATGTTTATTACTTTATATCATAGCTGAGATTTTGGGTATGAAGTGGTTTTACGTGTACTCCCCCTCTTACCTCTGCTCATATCTATTTCGTAGAAGATGGAAATGGAAGTTGATTGCCAATGTTTTGTTCTTTCTAAAGATCTATTCGAGTGAAATTTGCTTTATGAATAACTTGGTAGGGAGAGACACTTGTTCATTAGCCCTGTGACCTCAAGTTGGAGTACCAAAATTTTTTTACCTGGAGATTCTTTAGGAAATGTATAAGAAGAATTTTCTTTTATTCTCTGTTTGTTGTGAGTTCATAATGGAGATAATCTAAAATCTAAGTATATTTCTTAAATCTCTGTGCAGTCCATAAAGCCAGAGTTGTTAGTGCAAGTTGAGCCTATTACAGATCCCTACGGCCCTTCAATTGTTGATGAAAACTTAGAGGCTATTGTTGTCAGGTCTGTTTTTGCTTCTTCAATTGTCAAATCTGTGCTTTAAATTGCTTAACTTGGATTACTCTACTTTGAGAAAATTTAAATTTTAAAATCACCCTTTGAATCTTCTCCTTATCTACCCATTCCAATGGTTATATTGACAACCAAAGTCGAGGGAACAATTGGGTTTATGCTTTTTCAATCATCCAGAAAAGGTTCAGGACATGACTAACTGTTTGACTTTCCGGCAGCAAGGAGACAGTACCAGGTGGACTGTCAGTTAATAAGAAGAGAGCTGACAGAGGTCTTTCACAACTGAAGGTTTGAGTTTTTAGTCTGTTTATATGATCTATATATGATTTTCATTTAACAGCGCCTGATGTCAGAAGTTTTCTAAAACTGAGTAATGCTGCATTTAAAAGGTGCAAAAAATCATTTACAAATTGATGGGACAGTATGCATAAAAAGTTCACATAAAGGAAACTACAAATTTTTTCTATTTCATAAGCTGTAATCAGGTTCGAGGAAGTTTTTTTTTTTTTTTTTTTTTAGTTTTGTAAGCTGTAAGCTGATTCATCAGTCTGTAAAAAGATTTTTATAAAAAAAAAAAATGACTTCATATGATTCACATTTCTGAGAGTATCATCGTTAATTAGCCATTAAAATTGGGTTACTGTGCAGATTGAAGTCGTAGATCTAGTTCCCGAGGGATCCACTGGAGAGAAACTGAGTTCATCAACATTAAGGAAGCTCGACGCCGAGAAGGCCAAAAAGCTACAATCGGGCAGAGAACAAGACTAATCCTTCAAGAATGTACTGGCAAGAGGAGTAGTAAGTTAGCAGCAACATATCTGAAGTGGATTTTAAATTCCTGGAGACAAGGATGCTACGTGATTGTTCTGTCTGATAAGAAAGCTAGGCTTCGTGCAATATCTACTCTTGAGTTGCTGCTGTCTTATGGTATGTTCATAGTCTCCTCCTGAAATACCATATGGATGCACACATAGAATAGAATGTACTTGTACCACCTCCTGGTGAATAAATCTTTTTGAATAAATTAAATAGAAGTTTTTGATGTTTGGATGTATTTATAATTAGAGTTTAATATTTTTTAATAATAATTTATTTTCTTATACGTTAAAAATGATTTACACTATGATTTAAATTTAAATGACATTCAAGAAAAAGAGAGAATAAAAAAATAAAAAAATAAAAAAAAAATTGTATTAAATAAAAGCGTTAAACAAGATTAATTAATTAATTACACTCAACAAACCTATTTGACCAAGAGCAACCTTTTTTTTTTTTTGACGACATTTGGAAAGGCTAACATAAAACGAGGTCGTTTCCACAAAGTTCTTTGGTTAACCGCCTCAAAGTTACCGGGGTTAAAACGCTGTCGTTTTGGAATGCTAGCTTGAAACCAATCTATTTAGGCGGACCGCATCCACATTGCCTGTTAAAAAACCAACGGCTATCCGACGTTAAGAACGGCAATTTGAATTTTGTAACTGAAAGATCGTAATCTTTCCGTCCCATTTAAATACTCCCCGCCTCAACACTCATTCTTTCTTTTCAATTTTCTCTTTGAGATTTGTAAAGAGAAAATATCTTAGGCAATTCTCTGGTCTGTCAACCGATCTTCTCAAGGTTTTTTCTTTCACTTTCCTTGAATTTCCAGGATTACCATGGATTGGAGTTTTTGACTTTCGCGGTAAAGATATTGTATGGGCCTCACTTCTTTGAATTTCCATAGAGACTATAAACTGATTTCTGTTTGGTTTTTCTTTCCATTTCACTTTTTTCACGATTTTGATTTGTTCGTTTTCGTCTTCTTGAGTTTCTTTCTCGTTTTTCCTTCTCATATACTCGTTTCCTCTTCTTTCTCGCTTCTGCAATTCACTCAGTTTTCTTGGGACAGTTCAATCTCAAAGAACAGAGAAAATTTCAAAAGTTTATCTGACACTCGGATAGTTAAAAAGGGTACAATACCATTTTTGTTAGTTTGTTAATTTCATTTGGAATTTTTCACAAGTATGTTAATATATTGTTTTTTAGCAATTTCGCTTACTAATTTCTGGTTTTCTTGATTTTTTCCAGATAGGTTTTTGCAAATTTCTTGCAAAAGATGAACGATCTAATGACCAAATCGTTCTTAAATTATGTGGAACTGAAGAAACAGGCGCAGAGAGATCTTGATTCAGAACAAGATATCGAAAATGGCCAACTCAACAAGGCAGAAGAAGAGAACCTCTGTCAGTTCTTCCAAGAAGTGGAAGCAATCAAGGTTGAAATCGAAGAGATCCCCAGTCTCTTGCTTGATCTTCAAGCCCTCAACGAAGAATCCAAATCCGCTCACAGCGCTAAACTTCTTCGGGGGTTAAGAGATCGAATGGAATCAGATGTTGTCTCAGTCCTCCGCAAAGCAAAAATTGTCAAGGCAAGACTGGAGTCCCTTGATCGATCCAATGCACTAAACCGGACTGTATCAGAAAATTACAGAGAAGGAACATGTGTTGATCGAACCAGAATCTTCATCACCAATGGTTTACGAGTTAAACTTAGGGAGATTATGAACGATTTCCAGTCACTGAGGGAAAAAATTGTATCAGATCACAAAGAGGATCTGAAGAGAAGATACTATAATGCAACTGGAGAGAAACCATGCGAGGAAATAATTGAGAAAATGATGGTTTCAGGAGGAGAGAAAGTTGAGTTACTTGAAGGGAAAACAGAAGTAGATTTGAGAAATGAAGAGAAACATGAGGCGGTGATGGATTTAGAGAGAAGTTTGAATAGGTTGCATCAGGTTTTCCTAGACATGGCTGTTCTAGTTGAGACACAAGGGGAGAAGATGGATGATATTGAAGAGAATATAGTTAATGCAGGTCAGTTTATTAATGGTGGAACTAATAATCTGTACTATGCAAATCAGATGAAAAAGAAGAAGGCGGCATCTTTTTTCTGGGTCTGGGCCGTTGGGCTGATAGTGCTTCTGGTTTGCATAATTTCCATGTTGGCTTCTTAAAATCATCACAGAGACTGATGAAAGATTATCAGGTGGGGAACCCTATATTAGTCTGTAATTTTTTTCCTCCATTGATTTTTCGGTATCAGGGAGGAGGAGAGTCTTGATGGTTTTTGTAGTTACTGGCTAGTAAAAAAGTGATTTTGGTGATAAGATTCTGGAACTTGGTATTATATGTTTTTGCAGTTAGATCTGCTTGATTGAGTAGGATATGATCTCAAAAAGTTGGTGGTGTCTTGGTTTTCTTTGTTTTCTCACCTCTGCTACTTACTACTTACTCTACAGGGATTTCTTTCTCAATGGAATATTTGAACTGGTTGAGCATTGGGAGTATATTTGAAAGTCAGTTTAGTTTGAGGGCTCTATTTAGGTTTAGGGTATATTAAGTCTTATTTCATCTGGTTTTAGGATATCCAAATGGAATTACTTATAGTAAAATGCAATTTAGGGTTTCATTAAATAAAGAATTGTTATCTTTGATATAAATATATATGCATAAGTTTGATTTTTTAGTTTAGAATTTTCACTGGTGTTTGAAAATTCAATTGTTTTTTTCCCCCAAAAAAAAAAATTCATAGAAAAATGACCCAAAAAATTCACCCACAATGATCGAATCATCCAAAAATAAATGAAACCACGTTAAAATGAAATTATAGTTTGCTCTTAATTCTAATGGTGCCTTATGTATACTTTACTTATATTATATATTTAATACAAATTAAAATGAAATTTTATTTGATAAAATTATATTATCATTTATTTATTTTTATTATCTCATAACTAAATTAATAATATAATATGAAATTAAAAATTAAACCAACCTACACATTTTATAGTAATTTGGTAATATCCATAAATTGCATCCAAATTTAACAACATTTTCTATCATGCAAAAGCTTGATGATGACAGCGACAATTGGGAAAAACAAATCAGGAACCAGCCAAAAGCATCCCTTAGAAAAATCAGAAAGAAAATCCAAGGGTCAAGAACCTTATCCCAACTGCTAAAACAATACCAGGCCAATAGAGCAATTGCTCTACTCTGCCTTGGACGACCAGGATGCCGTCTATCTTGCTGAACTCAAGGACCCAATTCTCCTTAGATTCAAAAAATGCAGAGACCACCCTGTCTCTGCTCCAAAGATGTTCGAATGTAGATGAACTAAAGCAGATTCATGGACGGATGCTTAAAACAGGCTTTGTTCGTAATAGTGTCCTCACGAGCAAGTTCCTTTCTTGCTGTGTCTCAACTAATTCCAGCAATTTAGTTTATGCGCAGATGGTTTTTGACAGAATTAGCAGACCAAACACCTTCACGTGGAACATTATGATCAGAGGATACTCACAGAGCAATGAACCAGAACAGGCCCTCCTGCTCTACACCCAGATGATTTCTCATTCAGTTGAACACAATGGTTATACCTTCCCATTCCTGCTCAAAGCCTGTTCTTATCTTTCGGCCTTGCAAGAAGCAAAACAAATCCATGCCCACATCGTTAAGTTGGGATCTGGCTCAGATGAGTATGCCATAAACTCCCTTCTTCGTGCTTATGCAGTATCCGGGAGCATCCCATCTGCAAATCTGCTCTTCAACCAAGTCTCAGAAGGCAATGTTGTTTCATGGAATTCAATGATTTATGGCTATGCAAAGTGTGGGAACATGGAAAAAGCTTTTGAACTTTTTGAAAATTTGCCAATAAAGAATATTATCTCATGGACTACAATGATTTCTGGCTGTGTTGGGGCAGGCATGAATAAGGAAGCTTTGAACTTATTTCATGCAATGCAGGATGCAGGTGTCAAACCTGATAATGTAGCTCTGGCAAACACTCTATCAGCTTGCACAAATCTAGGGGCACTGGACCAAGGCAGATGGATTCATATATATATAAACAAAACAAGAATAGAAATAGACCAGGTATTGGGCTGTGTTCTTATAGATATGTATGCGAAGTGTGGTGATATGGAAGAAGCTCTTGAAGTGTTCAAGAAAATGAAGAGGAAGTGTCTCTCTACCTGGACTGCAATAATTTCTGGTTTTGCCATTCATGGTCATGGAAGAGAGGCACTTAATTGGTTTGCACAAATGCAAAAAGATGGAATCAAGCCTAACGCAATCACCTTCACAGCAATTTTGACAGCATGTAGCTATGCAGGACTAGTTGCTGAAGGCTATACATTGTTTGAGAGCATGGAGAGAAACTATGACCTGAACCCAAGCATAGAGCACTACGGTTGCATGGTTGATCTACTAGGCCGAGCAGGATTGCTTAAGGAAGCAGTACAGTTGGTGGAAACAATGCCTGTACAACCAAATGCCATCATCTGGGGGACACTGCTGAAAGCCTGCTGGATGCATAGAAACGTTGAATTAGGTAAACATATAGGAGAAATTCTGATTGAAATAGATCCTAACCACGGTGGCCGATATATTCAGTTGGCAAGCATCCATGCTCTGGCAGGGGAATGGGACCGAGTAATTGAAGCAAGAATGCGGATGAAACAACAAGGAGTTTCAAAGCTTCCAGGATGCAGTTCAATAAGCATCAACGGGATCGTCCATGAATTTTTAGCTGGACATCGATCCCACCCAAATATGAAAGAAATACAATACATGTGGAACAAGATTGCAGAAAGATTAAGGTATTCAGGATATAAACCTGTCATAGAGCCTCTGCCACTTGATCTGGAAGACGAGGAGAAAGAAACAGCAATACATCAGCACAGTGAGAAGCTTGCTATTTCATTTGCACTAATAAAAACCAGACCTGGAACTACAATTCGGATCACAAAAAATCTTCGGGTCTGCGAGGACTGCCACATAGTGGCAAAACTTATTTCTAAGATATATGCCAGGGACATCATAATGCGGGACAGAACACGGTTCCACCATTTCAGGGATGGGAAGTGTTCTTGTGGGGATTACTGGTGAAAATAGTAGCCACCAAATACACTCATGGTAGAAAAATAAATAACAAATATGTCAATCGAAGATGCAACAACTTGAATTTTACATTATTGAGAATCCATGATTATCCGAATTACTCGTTACAGCTTAAAAGGATTACAAGATTGAATACAAAAATATTTTATTGTTTCCATAAAAATGAGACCAAGAAGGCTAATAACATGAGAAAGTAAGAAAAAAAATCTCTCGCTACCAGAACTTATTAAGTGGTACAAGCTGCATTCAGCAATTCAGACAATGCTGAGAAACTGGTTTGCCGTCCATGATGATTTGGGCTCTAGCTGGACATTTCCAATCTGAGTGCACATGTAAAAATTAACAAAAACTTCTCACTAGAAATGCTTACTGCATCAGACAAGAAGCACACGTAATAACTGTTTGGTCAACATGCCATCCTTTTGCTGGGCAGTTCCTAAGCTATCATTATGAAACAGGCTTGTGCTATCAAGATACAAAATGATCTATCACGTAACTAGGAAAGAATGTATGTTAATACCTTAGCATTTTCAACGCAAACAAAATCTCTATAACATGCTTCCATCTGCAGATGTGGGTTCCACAGAACAGTATCCAACCAACTAAAAAGGCAAAAAACCACACAATAGCCAAATATATGTGAGAAAGTGAGGGGAAGATCAGACCAAATTCAGGTAAAAATATGAAATGATGTTTGACCTAACTTACTTTGTATTCTTTATAGATACTATGTCGCCCAGCCCATTATTGAGCTGTAACTCCCCAGGTGCATCAAGGTAGATGCAATCTACAAATCCAGGAAAAGTGATCACATCCCTATATGAGAATATAACAGTTAGAAAAGTGCGGGTACATCAGCATCGAGAACCATAGAGATTTGTAGTTAAAAGTTATGTTTGTTAAGAATGGATGTGCAATACTGCAATTCTTTTTTTTTTTTTTTGCAATAAAAGAATCAAAAGTAGAGAAGGGAAGAAGATGCATCCAACTCGTGATGAGAATTATGTATGATATTTATACATTATTTTCCAGACTATCATATGATATTTATAGTCTTTTATTCCTGAATATAAACATTAACTCTCATTCTCTGAAGAAGAAAATTAAGTATTTCTGTACTGCAGCCATAAAGCAAAAAGAATGTTGCTGACCTTTCCTCCTTACTCTCCACCGGATTCTTTGGATCTGGATCTTTATTCAGAGTTTTGCAACCTTTCAAACCTCTCACAGATGCACCTATTATAGAAGCCTGGATGGTAACGTTTAATATTAAACTATTACATTCATTTCTTCAAGTCAAATAATCAGTAAATATATACGATTTAGAAATATCACTCTCATAGCACACAATTTCCCATTTATGTATTGACTTCTGGAAATATGACTAACTTATCAACTTATTTTGATATGAAGATTTCCTACAATCAATGTCAAGTTATTCGGTCAAATCTTATTTGGTGATCCCAGAATGAAATCCACCGAACTTTGGATTATGCTACTTACTCTGAAGTATGTATGTAAAGCAGTACTGAATGAAAATGGCTTATCGTCAGTGTTTGTAACTTTTAGCTCAGTGGAAATGCTCTTTTCGTTTAGGACCACCTGAAAAGAACTGAACAAACTAAATATGATTTGTAAACAATTAAGCATATATCAAAATGCAACACGATCATATCCATAGAATTACCAAATACTCTGAGGTGACACTTAAGATACAAATCAGATGCATACAAAGTATAAATAGACGAAATACATACATGTGGTTGCAGTAGAAAATGAGAAATCAACCACTGACCTTAAATAAAGTCTGGAAACTGAAATCCCACATGGCTCGACTATAAGGGCCATCCTTTAGCTCAAGGGTTACAGCAGGATTGCCTTCTACATTTTCTGAATCAACAACGGACCAATCCATGTTTCTTGCAAAGCCGTGCTGTTAGTAGCAGCAATGAAACCTCCAAAGTCAAAACGAAATGATACAGAATAAAGAAATTAACCATGAATGAAAAAGGTAATTTAGAGGGACTTAGCAGTAGCTTTCTCAGGAAAGTTCAATTCTTTTGCAGATATGGAGTGAATATAAAAGGGTGCGAGCATTATTTTCTTATAGCACACAGCAAATTTATGAAGATATATTTACTTGATGATCAATATTATACAACTCCTAGAAGATAACTGCATACTCATCAATATGGTAGAATCAAGAGTGAACATTTACTTGGCCAAGATCATTGTCAGCAATTAGTAGTACTATTACCACTGAGTCTCATTTTTCAGCCATTAAGTAATAATTTATCTGATGAGCCATGAAAACTAAACTAAACCTATAAATTATGGGATGAAGCGAGACAGATGAAGGTTGCCACTGGAACTTGGAAGAACTGTGGAATGTTCATACCTGCTGCATTGGGCCAGGTCCAAACTGGGGGAAACAATGTGGAATTCCTCCACTGTCCAAATAACAAAAGGAATCAGGAATTTTCTGAGTTCAAGTCATTACATGACCAAAGAGAAAAAAGAAAAGGACATCCCTTTTTACCAAATGGATAATGGATAACCAAGAAAGATTTAAAAATATATTTAAGACTGGTTTGAAAAAAGAAAAATCAAGAATTTTCGTAGAATTCGTTTCAAAATTCACAAACCAGTTTAATTAGAAGCCAGTAAAAATTTCATTTAGAATAAGTAAACTTGAAAACATAAAAAAATTTGAAGTGGAATTGAAACAATGGACTATTAATTACATAATCTTTTATATCTTATAGTAGAATTTTCACTACCTGTTATAAACTTAGTGTAGGTTTCTAAATGACTAGTAAAAAGAAAATTGATTTATTCCAAACATAGCCTAAAACTTGTACCAAGTAGGTCCAGTTTACTCATTCTCTATTCTTCTACTTCTTTCCTGTTATTTACTTTTACTATATGCAAATGCAAAAGACTACAATCTCAAAAAAACTGCTCTGAAGTAGCTGGCAATTACAACTACCAAAAAAAGGAATTATAACCTGATAGGTTTTTTCTTGTTGAACACAGCATCTGGCCGGACAAAAAGGAGGTCCTTACCACCTGCTACTTTCCAAGATGTAATGCAACCCCCAAACAAGTATATCTCCGCCTCACTGCAAAATCCACAAATAAATTTAACAAAAAAAAGGTTTACTTGCAAAAATGAAACAAAAAGGGGGGAAAGAAAGCAAGTTGGTGAAGAATGCAGACCTGCCCTGAGGAGAAGTGAGCACAACTTTGGGCAAATTACCTTCCCCTTCCGTGACTTTCACTCCCATTGCAAACGCCATACCAGAGTATCTGCTTCTCAAACCAGGTTGAAATTCAATTCCAAAAGGAAAAATAATTATATAATATAATATGAAATTTGAAGACTTTGAAAGTTTTCAGGTGCCTAATCACAGAGAGTAGAAATGTCGATGCACGGGTATGGACTCACCGGTTGACTCGCAATGAGCTGCGGGGGTTCATCGCAGGAAGAGAGGAGGCCATCGAAACAATCGCCATGGTTTCCTCTCTGCAACCAATGACAAGAAAAATGTACAAACCAAAAACACAAAGCTACATAATATTCATATATATATATATATATATATATATATACAGTGTCATTTCGTTTCTGCAATTAAAGATCGGGTTGCGTTTGGAACGCTAGAAAATATTTTTGGTATACAGATTCGGATAATATATATTTCTCGTTTTTACAGTTGCATGGGCCAGTCCAACGGGCCTTTAGTTTAGGCCCATTAGATTGAGAAAGTCCCAACTCAAAGGGCCCAAATATTAGGAACCACCCTTAATTAGTACATTTACAATTTTATCCTTTGTTGATTGCTTTTTCTTTTTTGTAATTTAAATTTTTTGTCATTAAAGAAATTGCTAATTTTTAACTTATTATCTTATATTTTCATTTAATTTTTTAAGTTATTCATTGCGAAAATATATATATATATTATATTTAATATAAGTTAATACATTCATATTAATCACAATAGAAATTTTAAATGAAAATACACAAAAGTAAAATTTAACTCTGAATTTATAATTTTTTATTAAAAAAAAAATGATGTAGGAACCATTCAATTTATAGTAATTATTAATTATATATAGTTAGATAATAATATATGTATATATATATATATATAATGAATTCACATCAAAATGCTTTTTCTTTGTGTCAGCTTGAGTTGGGACAGAAGTAGATCCAATTATAATTACTAGAAGGGGAAAAAGAAGAAAAGTTAAACCGATGTGGCTTGCCATTTTTCTCAGGGAGAAATTCCTTTGGCTAAAATTGCTTTTCTTACATATACATATGCATATACATATATATATATATATATATATATATCTGAAGCTGTCGTGTATATATGTATATATGTGTATAGGCCATGACAATGCAAAGGAGAGAAGGAAGAGGAGCTGATTAGGTGAGAAACTGAAAAGAGTAAATTTCCATCAAAGCTTGTAAGCAACACACTGAAAGAGACTTCAATATCATTTTTGACTGACGTAGAAGCTGAAATTTGCTAGCTGACTAGTTTTGAGTCAATAGTTTTTCCTTTTTCTAATATATATATATATATATTATTTTATTTGTTCTGTTATAAAATAATTAAAAATTAGATATATAATTATTATTCATGTATTAAAAGTTGCTAATAATAATTAAATATATGTCTATTATTAAATTGCGAAATTATTTAAAATAATTAAGTTATATTTTTATCAATTTGTATTTGTAAAAATTAATTTAACTAAGAAAAATAACCCAGCAAATATTATTTATATATATCCTTTAATATATATATGTATGTTCTTTGAATTTATGATTCTAATATTAATATGTGTAATACACTCGGCAACCAAAGGAACAGAAACCAACTTGTACATCAGCCTATCTAAAAAGTACTGCTAATTAATTAAAGCTTAATCTTCAAGGAAAAGGAACAAATAGCATTAGATTCTGTTTACATTTATGTGTGTACGCGTGTGTGTGTGTGTGTGTGTGTGTATATATGTGTACGTGTGTGTATATATATATATATATATATATATATATAATATAATATAATATAAAACACGATCTACCCAAGCTTAGTTGTAGATGGGGAAAATGCTTATAATAAAAGTTACCAATCAGAGGATTACATATATATATATATATATGTATGTAATTCCTTACCAGCTATTTCCAGAACACGCAGTTGTAATTTATACAATTCCCAATCGTATGCAGGCACTTGGAAGTTCATAAGGTTTTGTAATATACGAGACATATATTCTAATAAGCAGGAATATATGCATTTTGTACCTCTACCAATCCCACTGAACATATATATATGTTTTAATTAATTTGCAGAATACGTTAATTACGTTTTTATTTTTGATAAAATTAAATAAGTAAAAAAATAAAAGAAAGTGGAGGCATGGGGCCCCCTCCAAAAAACACAAGAACCAATTTGAAGTGATCATCATGGCTTTGCAATCTTATCGAAATGGCTATCAAATTTTACACACAAAATTAGTATCTTCGATCACTAGTCCCCATCAACCAACTAATATATATATATATATATATATATATATATATGTATAGATATAAACATGGTGGCCACAATCAATTAATCCAACTGGCTGACTACCAGAGAGAGACAATCATGATTAATCAAAAACCCCTTTTGCTTTTAGCGTGCAATGAACTTATGATTATGATAATCTCCTTTGTTTAAGTTAATCTTTTTTTTTTTTTTTTTGGGTAAACCAAATTACTATATGTTATCTTTAAGTGATTTAGCCCTTCAATTTTTTGTTAATTGCCCCCAGCGATATAGCCAAGGATTTAATTATTTACATCTTGAAATCAATCATCCCTCATTCATGTATATATCACACACACACACATATATTTTAATTTACCAATTAGGGTATTCGAATTAATTCAGATTTGCGTACAATAAACAATTCATTTTTTTTTTCTCACTAATATAATATAAAGATTAAAAAAATCAAACTCTTCTAAACCTAATTACATTATACCCATAACTAATAAATTAAAAAAAACAAAAAACCAAATACCACCCAAAAAGCAAAAGAAAATTAGACCTCCCAATTCTTTGTTTAGTGATTATCTCACCCATTTTAAAAATTAAATTAAAAAAGTAATTTAACATGTTACATGGTTGCTTGTTACATAATTTATGAAATAAATAAATTTACTTATAATTCATTTAATATCAAAGAATAATAATAATTTACTCATTATTTATGTGATATTAAAAGTAAAAAATTATTAGTAGTAAAATAGGCAATTCTATCTTCCCTCAATTATTTATTCGTCCAAAATTCAAAAATTATAAATTAAAAATATTATAAGGTAAGAAAATTGTGTGATAAATGTGAAATTGCGGTCCACTTTTTATATTAAAAATAAATAAATTAGAGGGCACGAGCAGAACATGTGGGTGATTAGCCAATATGAGGGTGAGTGGTGGGGTTATGGCACGTGCAGATGTGGCCTCTTTTGGGGAACGCCACGCCCATTGACCTACCACTCTTGTCACGCGCCACCACCACTCATCTTAGATGGGCTCTTTACATGGTTGGTAATACCACGATGAGATTCATCTCAATATATTATCATTTTATTTTTATATAAAAAATTTATATTTTACATCCCATATAGCAAAGTATATTTTACGTTAATATTTTTATACATATATATTTTTTTTAAAAAAATGTTAATTCGAGTCTCAAATTATTTATTTCTCTTATAAAAACTGTTAGATGGAAAGAATTTAAAACTTTTTTTTTTAAATTATTATGGGCAGTATTTTTACATTTTTCATTAAAATACTAAAATATCCACTTAAAATTTTACTAAAAAACCTACAAAGTTGGAATATTTAATTTAAAAACCCAATTGGAGTTTTGTAAAATTTAAATTAAATAACTATCGAGTTTTGGAGAATTATTTCCTCAAAATTTAAATTATTCAAAAACATAATTTAATAGATATTTTAATATTAAATTTTCGAACGTCCAAATGCGAAATACAAAAGAGCCGGACCGGAAGCCCAAAAAAAAATTCCAAACGGAACCTAGTGTCTATGATATCTGATGCACAGATCAGCTTACTCGCCACGTGGCTGTGAGATATGCGTTAGTATCGGTACGAGTGCAAATACGGTAAGATTACCCAATATGAAAATAATAATAATATTATTATTATACTATGAAGTTAATTATCCCGTTAAGATAACCATTTAAACGGATTAATACGAAAATAGAACCACTCACGTTTTTATTTAAAATCAAAAAGCAGAAAAACAGGGACCTTAGATTTGGTGTCCTAAGGGGGGGAGGGAGGGAGGGAAAGAGAGAGAGAGAGAGAGAGAGAGAGAGGAATATCGGAGCAGTGACTAGCTGGTGAGGCAGAAGGTGGTTGTGGTGGTGGCTGTGACCATGGTCGGTGGCGCCAGTGGTGGAAGAAGGATGTGCAGGCTCTTTTCTTGATCCGCGATAGCCACCGGAAAAAGGGAGAGATAAATAGAGAGTCCGACAAGGACAGCGATGGTCGCTGTTGCTCGTTCGGGCCTTTGTTTCTCCGATTTGATCTCCTTTTGGATCTTGTCGAAGGACCCTCTTCTTCTTTCCCATCGTCGTGTTTCTTTTCTTCTTCTTCCTCTTTGTTGACAGCGATTCTGCGTTTGGGCTGGTTCGTCTTCGTCTGGATCGATTTCGACAGAGGTGGGTTGGTTGGTTGGTTTTTTTCCTCCCCTTTGTTTTCTATTTCGGTGATCTGTGTTACGCATTTTAATGACTGGTATTTCTGTTCTGTCTTTTTTCTTTTCTGAGTTAATTTTCCGTTGAATGGTTCGTCGTCAATGGTGGATGTTTGATTTGGTATATCTTTTCTTTTCTTTTTCAATTTTATATGATTATTGTGCAAATTATTTTTATAACAAGCATGTAAACGAGAGAGTGAGCCTGGGTTGATGAGAGATGAGAAGGAAAATGATTTTCTTGGACGCTTGTAGGAGCATAAGCTTAAGGCTTTTGAGAATCACAGCTTGGGGTTTAATTGCTGAACAATAGAAATGGATTGTGAAGAAAAGAAACCCTAACTTTAGCTGAATCTATTCTCTTCGGTTAAAAATTTCTCCAAATTGGCTGTTTGCTTGACAAGATTTTAGCTTCATGGTAACTGAAATTTTGATCAAATATGCTTGTAGTTGAAGATTGGGTGATATTCAGAATTGATATGTTGTAAAAAGATGTCCTTTAAAAGCATTGTCCGTGAGCTGAGGGAGATAAGAGATGGGATTGGAAGTGTCTCCCGACGAAACCGGGCAAAGTCCCACATTGCTCCGGATCATGCTCCGGCTCCAGAGTCCATTCAGCAGAGTCCTTGGGCAAATCTGCCGCCTGAATTGCTCTTGGACATAATCCGGAGGGTGGAAGAGAGTGAGACCTCGTGGCCTGCCCGGGCTGTTGTGGTCTTTTGCGCTTCTGTCTGCAGATCATGGAGGGAGATTATCAAGGAAATTGTGAAAACTCCTGAGCAGTGTGGGAGGTTGACATTTCCCATCTCATTGAAGCAGGTATACCATTGTTTTCTTCGTTACATATATAAATATATATATATTTGCAGGTCAAGGGTTCTTATGTTGTTATTGTCACTGTAATTCTTCTTATCGCTTTGTTGATTATTTTCTGCCTGTGAATAGCCGGGTCCTCGTGAGTCTCCCATACAATGTTTTATAAGGAGGGAGAGCTCATCATCGACGTACTTCTTATACTATGGACTGGTCCCATGTGAGTTATCATTTTCTCTTTAGCTTTTGTATGTGAAAACATTGATCCACACGTTATTGAACAAGAATGTATTTTCTAAAACTTTTTGGGTTTCCAGCATTCTACTCTTTGGTATTGGGTCTAGTTAACCGGGTAATTTATATGCCCTCTTTCTGTTGGCCTATTGCTGAATGATCTTCTCCAAGAATCACTACAAAATCTGTTTGTTGGTTTTTGGCCACCTGGAGAAACTTCAATCAGGAGATAAAATTGTTTATGTTCTGACCAGAAGAAACCTAATTTTGGATAATGCTACTTTAAATGTTTTCTTAGCTAAGTAAAACTGTTCTGAAGGCATTATGAAGTGGTACCAAGTGATCTCTAAGAGGGATCCATGTTGTTAATTCTCTTCTATTTGCAGCTGAAAATGAGAACCACAAACTGTTGCTAGCAGCCAGAAAGAATAGGAGGGCAACATGCACGGATTTTGTCATATCTTTGGCTGCAGATGATTTTTCGCGAGCCAGCAATACATATGTTGGT